TTGTCTGCTGTTTGATGAACTAGTTTATATGTGCCTGAGTTTGGCTCCTCTTAAGGGCCAAACTAGAGTCAATCGGAACCCAAAATCTTCAATGCGGATAGCTTTGTTTCCTGGATGGTTTGAGTAAGCTGGGGGGTACGGCTTGTGCATACGTGACTGCTGTCTGGCTGTTGAAGGCCCAGAGGGGCTACATTCCTCGTGCCCATAGTGCTTTGATAGGCCTTGTTATTATAGCTGTCATTAGGACGTCTTATTCCCATACGTGGGTAAGATGGGTCAATTAGGGAGGCTGAACGAGGATTTGAGCCCCGGAGCCTTCTAGAGTATCCAAGACCTACGAACAGCAGCGGAAATTTCTGGTGAATTATAATCAAAACCCTCCCTGGGGTTGTAGGCACTTCCTGGTGAGTTGCATGTTTTTAAGTCTAAATACCTTTATTTTATATGCCTTTAACCAAATCATCGGCTATTTTTTCTTCATTTTCTTTTAATTATTTGTCGGCTCTTATAGGCCTGTATTGATGTAATCCGCTCAGACCCATCCACTTACGAGCGGCCGCCATCCAGCCAGAAGGACATTTTATCCTACTCAGAATGGCGGAGCAACTTTTTCGACGAGCACACTTGCCGTCCCCGTCCCGACATCCCTGTTTTCGAGGGTGACACACTTCCTACCACTATTCCCGCCACCACCGCCACCTACCCTTCACCGTCACAGGTGCTGGAGGCTAGCCCCATTGTTCGCAGCCACCTCCTCCGACTCGTCGATCCTGTCGGTGGCGGAACAGATTCCGGTGGGGATAGTGATGGCAATTTGAGCGAGGCTGACTTCTGGTCGCGCTACTACTACCATGTTTGGCGTTTCGATGTCCTCAGCCTGAGGTGTACACGTCTCACGAGAATCTATGCGGCTTCTGCTGCAACGATGACATTGGAAAGGGCAGATGAAGTGGAGGCATGGCCTGGTGAGTCGTATTCTTAGGTAATTACAGGAGATTTAAGTCTACGAAATAGGAAAGCTGATTTTTCACTGACGTATTTTGATAGCCGAGTCGTAGGGGACTGTAAAGTCTCAGTTACTTGAACTTCTTATGATACAAAGGAGATTGAAGGGTCAGGATCATCGAGCATATCATGCTTAACAAACAAAATTGCACTAACTGAACTTCTTTTATGCATCGTTTTCGATGTTCCCAATTCCGCCCATCTTTTTCCTTTGTCACGGTTCTTTCTGTGATTATTAATTATCAGGAGGGCTAAACGGTTAACCGGTGAGAGGATGGACTTGCATCATACGGAGAATGCTATCTGCCGCAGGTTAACTGCATAGAGGACGATGCTTTGCAGCCAACACATTTCCTGTGTCCATCACTATTCTTGGGAGGATATGCATCACACCATCAGTCCTTAAGCCAGAATATGAAAATGGGAAATAGTGGTCAACCACTTAAGCAACCGTTTCATCTTGCTTAAGCGGAATTTGAGCCTGAGGCAGTGGCCAAAAGGTGACGGGATGTTGATGGTCTTTCTACTGTCTTTCCTCATAGGTTCAGCTATTTAAAATTGTTTTCAGCCATCGGAATCAGAATCATTGTTCACTAAGGGCCGAGTTTGTCTGCCACATAAAATTAAAACAGCCGTCATTCTGGCTGCAATCTCTATCCATTTTGTATTGTTATCATTTTCTAGATTTAGAAGTTGAAGAAAAGATTGAGGAGGCGAAGGATGTGGCAATGTCGACTTCAGATGCATTGAAGTCGACCGAAGAAATTGAACTGCCTGACACTCTGGTGAGCTTTGGTTGTGGTAGACTTTTTATGATCTCACACTACTGTTAGATTGTCTTCTTAATAAGCTATAAAATCGTCAGGCGCTTTTCAAGACGTTTTTATGTTTGAAATAAGCTCTATGAAATTTTTCAGATAGTCCAGCTCCACGTCAGTTGTCAATACTATTCCCCTGTTATTTTGAACCCTCGTATTTTTATGCCACTTGAACCTGGTGTGGCTAGAGCTTCCCTGATTTACGAAAGAAATTTACCTCAGTTTCAAAGTTGGGCGTCTCATAAAACTTATCAGATGGTAATGGGCGAAGGTGCGGTGTGAGACAATCGAGAGCACTGGCCAGAATTTGAACAATTTGATTGTGTTTGTGAATTACTCAAGGAAATGTCCGTTACCTTCAAAGGTACTGTTTTTGATAATGAAGAATTACTTGTCGTTGCTAGTGTTAAGCTTCGAAGACTCAATTGGTTTTATTCACAATTTGCACATACGTTATGCACTAACTGGTTCGTGCTGAGAAATGGCTTTCTTGTTCAAACTTTCGGCAGCCAAACTGGTACTTAGTTGGTTATCCCCAAACAGTCCACTCGCCATCTCATATTGCTGAGGCACGCACCACTTCATCTCATAAAAATATATTTTGAAAGTGTGTGGTTGACTGTGGACGCAATCGTTTGCTGCGTTTGGCCTTGCTGTTGAATAGCTCGACGTAAAAAGGCTATCTTTGAAGACAGGCATTGCTACTGAATCAGTAAGAATACACCTATCCCAACAATACATTTCAAAGGCCGCCCAGGAGAGGTTTCTTGCTTATGTCAGGAAGAAGGTACGGCCTAACCTCATCCTCGTTCCTCTCATGAGCTGTATCCAAGTGGTGACTATCGTCCTTTTCGACATTTGACTTGCCAAATAGACATGGAATACAGCCAGCAGATAATTGCAAAATAGGGGTAGGCCAGAACCACAGGTGGCTAACGCTGTGCTGTTTGCTTCAGGAAACAATGAGTCCCACAAAAAAAAGATTTGCGGAACTGTCATTTCAACTAATGAGTCATTTTAAGTAGCTTTCTGGAATCTCCTTTTGTTTTAATATACGAGCGAAATGCAACTACTTACTTAATCAGCTCACATTCTGCACGTGGCCGGCTAGAAGTTGCCCGCCTCAATGGATTCCCTACTCTAAGTCTCTTTGTTTGTGTAGAAGCCAAACGATTTGTTTGCCTGCTAATATTTCGAGCTTTCTGTGATATTGCGCTGCGATTCTACTGCTAACACCATTCCCCTGTTCACGTGTGGTTTTGCGAATAATTAGTAGAAAAGATAAGTCGAGACATGTTAGCCAAAAATCCAAGCTTGGTGACCTTCTTATTTATAATGTGCTGTGAAGGCAAACCCAAGGCATCCAAGACATCGGTTTCCTGGCAAAGTGGTTTTGTCTGAGGTCTTCAAAATTCAGTATTTTTTAAGCATTTGAAGGAGGATGGCGATGTCATATTTTCAATTCGACTTAAATAAATTGGTTGAGTATGCGACTTTAAGGGAGAATAATTGGGGCTTTTTGCTCTTACACCCGTTAGACAAATTCTTTACGTGAAGCTCAATCACCTAAGGATCCCAGTACAGAGTACTCTACTCCCGCTAGCAGTGTTGTTATGGTTACGAAGGAGGAGGCAGTGGAGGCCAATGAGGGAGATGATGAGGAGGACGAAGAGTTAACGCAACAGTTACCTTTGAAATGCGCAGCAGGTGGCCTGCGAGGTAATTGTCTTTAATCACGTTACTTGTCCTCTTTTTCGACTAATTTTGCTCCAATGAAATTTGAACATGCTAGATATAGAAGAAAGAGAAGAAGAAGAAGATGGAATTCAGCTGTCTATAGAATATCTTCAAGAAGAGGAAGCAAAATTGAGAGCGGAGCTGGGAAGTGAAGAGGATGATAAATCGGAGGCGGTAAGGGTGTAAAATATTCTTCCTTGTGTTCTGCTAACATTTTTATGCCTTTCCTCTATAGAGTAGTGACTGGGAGAAGTGGTCGTAGTCCCAGTTCGCGAAAGCGTGCCTGTGTCGGCTGTTCGCGAATTCCTCTCAGCATTGGCCTTCATTAATATGTGAGAAAAAAGGACACGTACTTTGATATCCAGATCCTCATTCTCTGTCCCCTCACTGTTAGCAAACAGACATTCACACCCGCTGCCCTCCTACCCCCCTCATCGCTCCACCTCCCAGTTCCTGCTTGTTTTGAATTTCCATTATATGCTGATGTCTCTTTTTCCATATTATTGTGGGATACATAATCCGGTGTTGGTTGATCTGGATACGTATTCCATTCTCATTATTTTATGTCCCAGTCAGGGATGTTCACAGTAAGGCAATGCTTTTCAATATTAGAAGCTGTAACAAGTCCACATTCTCAGTTTCAGCATGCAGAAAATACAAAATATTAAAGGTAAGTTGGGTTTATGGTTCATTGAGGTGTTGCAGTAATCCGTGGAACAAAAGCACTGTTCGATGAGAGATTCACTGCCGTAAAAATATATGCATTGGTCAGGAAATTTGGGAGGGAAATGTGCGGTACAGTACCTTGAAGTTGTCCTTAGAGTGGTTGCTTCCTGACCCCAGCGCGGTTTCATAAAGTCGCTTTTCTGAACTTCACTCTGCTTTACACACGAGGTGCAATTTAAGAGGGTTTTCCAGAGCTCGGGGCCATGATCACAGGGCCAAAGAGTGCTCTCGTACCTCCAATTCAAGTATTCGCAGCTATAACACTTCAAATTAGCTTCAGATTGCTCAAATAAAAGAAACAGTAGGGCAAACATCCCCTCCTTAAAAATAACTTTCCGGTTCCGCGCACGACGAGCTTCTGGCATTAATAAATAGAAATTGGATGCATAAAACAAGTTAAGGTCGTCCAATAATAATAAATCAAAGAAGTTCATCCAATCAAATTTTTTAAAAAAAGTTATGAAACAACGATATGAAAGTGCGGTTGTCCTTTGTACAGTAGGAGAGAACAGGATAAACAGGTAGCATATTTGACTTCCCTAAATTTTGCAAAAGATTTCTAAAAAAAGACACTCAGCAAAACTTTTTTTTAAATAAGCAAAACAATACTTTTACTCACGTTGTTATATTGGACGGTAAACCGGGTCCTCCTAAGTGCAAAAAAAGTCAAGAACAAGTTTCCAATTTTGGTCTCTGCCACTGCGCTTACGTAGCGTCCCGAGACTCCCTGAAGACGAAAGACGACACAGTACTGGGGCAGAACATATATTCAGCACAGAGAAGATGCCTGGGCTATTGGCATGGCCCAAAAGGCCAGCCCGCCCAGCGAAGTATAAGGGGGCTAATTCAAAGTACAAAAGTGGCGCCTCATCAATACCGAGGGATAAGACACCATCGTATTACACTTAAGTTTAGCAGACAGGCACTCAACCCATGCCAGTAGACGCAGTCCACACTACTCATCAAATACACACATATTTTTTCAAACTTTCTTCTGCAGGAAAGTCTTACCACCCTACACTGGAACTAAATATTCATTTTAACAAGCAGATTGTTCAAAGGCTACACGATGAGACCAGAAATCACACTCATTGAGAACAAGGCAAAAATAGACCCTTTAGCGGTGCTACATTCAAAACGCTGACTTAAGCTTACGTTACTGTAATCACTTTTGATGGGACCCGTGAATCACCTAATGACAAAAGAAGGCAAAAAGAAGGATATATATATATATATTTGACAT